TCTTACCCTTGGCATGTGCTACTCGTGCAGCTATATTGCTCACTCTGAGGGCTCTCAACGACGAAATGAGCTCGGTATCCACCTTCTGCACCTCATTCTTCTTCTTCCTGAGGGGACGGGTGTTTAGCTCGTTACCAGGATCGCAGGTGAACGTGGTCACATTCGCCCGGTCATCGAATCTGACTTTAAAGCGAAGCGCCAGCTTACCTTGTTGTACGTTGGGAAGTGCGGGTTGTACGTCCTCGTCATCACTCTCGATGTCTCCGCAAAGCATGAAGGCTGGCGCAGCCGGTTTGGGCTTGGCTTTGCCTTTAGCCTCTTGTTTTGTAGCAGGAGCAGCGTGATGCTGACGTCGACATTTGTCCCCGAACTTGCACGATCCTTTCTGCCAATTCCAACAGACCTGATCCTTCATTGGCTTAGGGCTACTGCTCCTGTCACCAGGACTCTTTGATCTGTCACCCTTGATGCTTTCTGGTTTCTTAGCAGAACTCTTGTGCTTCTCTTGGTGACTAAACTTACATTTGTCTCCTCTAGAACATCCGTTTTTCCCATGGAAGTGGAAAGCGCATCCTATCTTGGACGTATCTGCTGGAGTCGCTGACCTGCCACGATCCCCTTTTGGGCTCTTCGTGGCTGATCTTCCACGATCCTGCTTCTTGTCCTTCTTGTTGTGGTCCTTCGGATTAGCCTGAGGAAGTACTGGAGCTGCGTCATGTTTCGGTGGATCGGCCTTGGTATTCTTGGGTTTCGCTTTAGGGTCCTTCTTCTCCGCCGCTGGTGTGGCTTTCACGATGTTCCCAAAAGCTTTTTCCCTTTCTTTCTTGTTTGTGGTCTCGATTGATTTCCGTATCCACTTCGTCATGATCTCTCGTAACTTCTGGTAGGTCTTATCCGGATCCTTATCCAACATGTTGTCGTACACAGACAAGTCTAACGCCATAACTTTGGAATCCTTAATCTTATCCCAAAGCAGGTTGCGAAGTGCTTTGTCAGGAAGCATGTCATCCGCATCCATACCTGATATGATCTCATCCCACTGTCCAAGGAATCTGGATAGTTGATTATCCCCAGGGAACTTTAGATCGAATAAGTGCTTGGATGCATACATCACATCAACGTTGTCGGCACTCCGGAAGCTATCGACGATCAACGCTAACATTTCTCGTCCCTTGACCATTCCAGGAGTTGTGCCTCTCGCACGTCTCTGCATCATCTGCCTCACCTTCAGTTGTACGTCGTGAGATCTCTCACCTGCTGCGTGGATGATCGTGTGTAGGGTGATACCCAGCTTAGCGTCTATGCTAGCGAATCTTGCTTCGCCTGATGTCTCGAGTAGAAATGGGTCATATGGTGATCTGAAGGCATCCGAGAGCCATTGGATCCAGTCTTCTTGTTTCTCGTCGCCCGATGCCGTCACGACTGCCGCTACAACCTGGGATTTCCAAACCTCCAGGTCGTGTATCTTGGGCCATGCAGGGATGTTGATCTTCTCGTGTTCCTTCCGAGATATCTTGGAGCCACCTGAGCTGGAGGATGAAGCGGCACCATGTTCGGTTGCGGCTGCATTCTCTGCATTCATGCGCTCCTCTTCGTACCTCTTCCGGTACTTATTCCTCTCATCTCTGAGCCGTGCTGCATGCGCTTCGAATTCCATCATGTCCTGTTGGTTCTGCATCATACCTTCGTAGTACTCAATCGCCTCTTTCTCCTCGGACCTTAACGACTTTTCAGTACGTTCAAGTTCCGCTCTAAGCTTGGTCATCATCTCATTCTCCACACTGGGTTCTGATCCCATGCCTGGTGGTTTCAACTTCAGTGCGACCTTCAATTGTGCTTCACTTGCGCTTGATTCGATCAATTCTTCCTGAAGACGTTTCAGCATCCTCTCTTTACGTAGAATGTCCTCTTCCAACATGTTCACCTTGACTTCGGCCTTCTTGAGTTCGGCGCTGGATGGTTGAAACGGTCGATCGGATCCTTGAATCCTCGTCTGAGTCAACTCCTCATTCGCCTTCTTCAATTGCTCTCTGATGCTCAAGATGAACTTGTCCTGAGTATTAGATCGGTTGTTGAGCTCCTCATTCTCTTCTGATAACCATTTGATCTTGCTTGCATACATTGCTTCCCTCATCTTCATCTCTTCAGCATATTCGTGTTTGTTTCTGGCACTCTGCCTTTGTAGTCCAACTAACTCCTGTCTACACAGATCCTTGACGTTCTCAGCATCTGCGATTGTAGTCATGACCTCGGTTACGGCTCGATCTCTTTCTGCCGATATAGCCTGGATCTCTTCCGTGCCGATGTTCACAACTTGACTAACCATCTCTGCGCTGTTGCGATCAGCGTACTCCCCTAACTGGGTGAGACGATCCCGCATTGCCACACGATCAGTGTCCATCTGGTATTGCAGGTCGTGTGCTGCTGAGAGCAAACAGTCTCTGGATTCTGTAAGTTGGGTGATTCTTCGTTGATTTCCATATCCTTCGACGTAACATTCTTCGAGGTGCGCCATCACTACTTCGTGGACTTCGGTCTCGTGTTGTATAATCTGGTTCTGTCTCTGCTCACATTCGACCATCCATGCGTTTTGGTGGTTCAACATATGCACTTCGGCAAGTAGTTGCGCACACTTCGCACTCAGGTCTCCATCGGCCCGTGCTAGTTGTAGGTTGTCAGTGCTTGCCCTTGCTCTATCCCCAGCTTCGCTGTCCGACGGCACTGGTACAGCTGACCCATCCTGCAATGCTAACACTCTCACAGCTCCGGTGTCAGTCCTCCTCCTTGTCTCCCTAGGGCTACGGCCTGATCTCGGTGTCCCCCACGGTGGTGTCGAGTGCGCTGACGGGGAACGACTTCGTGCTCTACCTGTCGCATCTTCTCTCACCGCTGTCAGAGTCTCCACTTCGATCGTACCTGAACTAGAGTTGTGGGATGCACTCATCCGATCTGCGGCCGCAGCAGCTGCCCCAAAAGATGCAGTGCTGGCGTCGGATTGGTCCATCTTCGGTGACTGAGGGTAACTGGTCTATCCGATGCGTGTGCGCTTAGATGGTGTTGTGTAAGGCCGCAGCTCGTACCCAGCACAAAGGAGTCTGGATACGGCTGATAACCTGCGAACGGATGGAAAGGTGTGCCCTGGCCCCGTTCTAGCTCTTAGGTTAACATGAAGCTCGCGCGCTAAAGCTCCTTTTTACCTGGTTGGGCACTTGAGCCAAAAGTATATGGCATGTACCTGTATAGCGACTATACTGGGACCCCATCCCTATTGACAGATATTAAGTTGGAGGACATAGCTATTAAGTTGGAGGCCATCGACATTAAGTTGGAGGCCGTGCTATTAAGTTGGAGGCCATCGCCATTATAAGTTGGAGGCCATCGTTATTAAGTTGGAGGCCATCGCTATTAAGTGGGAGGCCATCGATGTTAAGTTGGAGGACATAGCTATTAAGTTGGAGGCCATCGGTATTAAGTAGGAGGCCATCGATATTAAGTTGGAGACCATCGCTATTAAGTTGGAGGCCAACGCTATTAAGTTGGAGGCCATCGCTATTAAGTTGGAGGCCATCGCTATTAAGTTGGAGGCCATCGTTATTAAGTTGGAGGCCATCGCTATTAAGTGGGAGGCCATCGCCATTAAGTTGGAGGCCATCGCTACTAGGTTGAAGGCCATCACTATTTTAGTTGGAGGCCATCGCTATAAAGTTGGAGGCCATCGCTATTAAGTTTGAGGCCATCGATATTAAGTTGGAGGAAAACGCTATTAAGTTGGAGGCCATCTAAGTTGGAGGCCATCGCTATTAAGTTGGAGGCCATCCGTATTGAGTTGGAGGCCATCGCTATTAAGTTGGAGGCCATGCTATTAAGTTGGATGAGTTCGATATTAAGTTGGAGGCCATCGCTATTAAGTTGGAGGCCATCGCTATTA